AGCGTGTGCCAGAATAGAGTGGCGGCGTTTGAAATTATATAATTTTACGGTCAAATTTATTTTTCACTTGAAACTTGTTTGAATGAAAGCTACAACATTAGAAAGTAATTATAAAATATTCTCAAAATGACAACCTTCACCTGAGATAACAAACTCGAGGTGCTTCTTAAAGTTGCGAATAACAGCCTTAAGGGTCTCAGGGCGGATACTTTGAGCGGCAGATTCAATAGCAGCTTTAAGTTCACCAACGTCTTTTGGATCCTTACGATAAACCTGGTCTTTCAGGTAACCCCAGAGGTAATAATCGCATGGATTGATGTCTGGACTGTATGCTGGCCAAGTAATTCCTGTTTGATAGTGTCGATAATAATCTAAGGCGATTACTCTTGGTCCAAAGTTTTTGTTGAGTATTTATTAGTAACACTTCTTTCGTTCTATGAGGTCGAGCGCCATCTTGTTGGTACCAGAAACCGTCAACTAAGCCGTTTCGATTAGCCCAAGTTCCAAATTTTTCATTCAATATGTTAGTGTAGGTTAAACCTTTAACTGTACCTTCAATAAATGTCACTGGAGTTAATTTTTCCGAATAAATTCCCATCCATACGGTCACCTTTTCAGGATGTAATGGTTTTTCGATGTTAAATTCAGGTAGCTCTGACCCCCAGAACCGATAATTCTGCTTGTTGACGAATCCGTGTAACCAGAAATGAGCTTCGTCGGTGAACCAAATTTTATCTAAATCCAATTGATTTTCATCTAATAAACAAAGAATTTCATTCGCAAAATTAACACGATTCATTCGAGCTTGTTCAGTGAGAGGTTGAACAACTTGAATCTTGTAAGGATGAAGGGAAAGTCACTGAAATTTCCAGAACAGCAGCTGCTCTTCTTAACGAATTAGTTGGATTTTCTTCGAAGTGAGCTTGAACTTTGGCTATATTTTCTGGTACTATCGCTGATTTTCGGCGACCAGAATGGCCAGTGTGTTGATCAATTACACTTCCGTATCCCATGAAATTATCCCATGCTCTTTTGATGGTTCCATCATTTGGTGGTGTATCAACATGATAATTTTTAACAAATCGACGTTGAACTTCGGAGAAATTAGAAGTTCTGGCATATTCAACGACCATGAACACTTTTTCATGAGTTGAGTAACAATTTTCGCTCATTTTCACTTGATAAAATAAGCACTTTCACTTGATGTAATAAGAACTTGTTGAGTTATCACACTCAATATGAATAATACTGGCTTTTAAGTAGCAAAAAATGTTTAAATAGAAAAGAGAAATCGGAAAAAACATTAATGGCCTCAAAACTGACCTTTTCTGGTTAAAACCTGTTTAACGTTAGCAAAAAAAAATTTTTCATCCTAATTTATCAACTCATCTATTAGCCCTCAGGCAATGTATTGAGTAAAATTGGCCAATAAAAACAAACCAATTTGAAAATTATTTAGTTTCAAACGCCACTCTATTTTGGCACACACGGTATTATAAATCATTATTAGAATCAGTTGATTGTTTAAATGATCAGAATATGAACTCAACATCGAAACAAATTGTTTCGAGTTGATCATATTATTAATCACAATCAAAGCTACAATTCGAGCAAGGACGTTGAGAGGATTACCAAATGGTACCAGTGTCAATTAAGCAGCTCCTCTACGCAGCGCTTACAGATTCGCAAGTTCCTGATGGAAAGGTGATTGATACTTAGTCTCATTTATATATTTATCTTAATATTAATTAATTGATTCCAATCTTATTTCCATACACGCTACTTTTCCGTGTATTTTTAGGTAGAGAGTGAGGGTGTTTTTTGGAACACCAAAGTTTTTGGTATTGATTTTAAGGAAGGGATGGCCGTTTGTGGTTCCATTTTCGGGAGTGAGCTAGAAAATGTGGTCACCGGAGACCTTGGAAACATTCCAAATATTGAATGAAATAGCGAAAATACCAAACCTATTCGTCAGCCCTTCAAGAGACAACGACATCGGTCAAAAAGGACAATCTGCTAAAACACATCAATGGATACAAAGAGGGAACGATTTCATCCAGCCAGGATGTGAAATACGCAGAGCTAAGGCTCCACAAGTTGAAGGGCAGTGGGAAAAAAATTACCAGTTATGGTTTTAGTTTTAATTGAATTATATTTCATTGAATTTTAATTTTTCAAATTCTCAAATTGTGAAAAAATATCAATAAAGCCATTGGCTTTTTTAAATTGAATTTGTAATTGGTTTTTAAATTGTATTACATGAAGAAGATTTCAAAAAAAAAGATAAATAGATTTACACGGAACATCTTCCGTGTATTTAGATAGAGTTGATTAAATTGAAATGAATTGAATTGATGGACGGACGAAACACGGAAGATGTTCCGTGTAAAGAGTCAATAATCATCATCATTTGATTCGGATGTTTGTCCTTCTTCATCCTCGGATTTTTTTGTCACGATTAGATTCCTCCTCTTCCTCCGAACTTGTATTATCACTTGAGGTCTCTTCATCACTTGCGTTGTAGCCGGTGGAGTGGTCTGAATGGATGGAAGAAGGCTAATCATGCACACATCGGAGTCCGACTGCGGGTCGACTTCCATGGCGTTTAGATTTGCGACGTCGAGTCGCTCTCTTACCATTATCATCTCCAGTTCTCTCCGCTCTTCGTGAGCATCCTGTTCTAGCTGGTCTCTCCAGTGTTGATGATGTTGCCGTTGTTGCCTTCGGGCTCGTTGTTTTTGTTGTTGTTGTTGTTGTTGGTCGTGGTGGTGGTGGTGGTTGTGGTGGTGGTTGTGGTGGTGGTTGTGGTGGTGAGCCATAATCAAATAAAGTTTTCAAATGACTGAAGTCACACTGAAAAAATAAAGAAAGCAAAAGAATAAAAAAAGCGAGTTAAGTTTGTTGATATGAAACAAGAATAAAAATGAAAAAAAGCGAAACTCACTGGATTTATAAACCAGACGCTAATTGATGATGATAAATTGAATATTGGGATCTTCTCATCGAATGGTTTTGAAATAAGATCTGGATCATCTTCGCATTCGAGATAAACCATGATGTTTAAAAGACAATGATCAGCTCCATCGATTGAAGAAATGTCGATGTTATAAGCTGTTGTAAAAATTGTGGCAAATCTACTTTTATAAAGTGGATTGTACATAGAAGAAAAATTTGAAAAGAAAAAGACAGAGAAAAAGCAAATTAGTGATTAATGATTTAAGGTAAAGGGATAAGAGGTAAATTAATCTGTGTTCTACTTACTTCGACTACTACTACGTTTTCCCTTCACAAGACAAAATTGGCATTGATAGAGCTTTGCACCTCGTGAAATCTTTCGCTTAAATGCTAATAAGTTAATAAGTAATGCGAAATAGTTTTTCGGCTGTTCCAACCAGATCGATGAACACATGTATTCATTCGTGTCTTTTATGTATGCCAATACATTTACATCATACAAAACGTCGTCATCCTTTGTTTGAGCCGAAATGAAAGAAACAAATAAAACATGAAAAACCATCTAAATGGCTTTTAGAAGCTGAATTACAATGGAACTGAGAAGGTTTTTAAACCATGTAAACATTCAATGATCATTGTTGTAAATTTTGATGGCGCTCATTGTTGCGGTTGTTTTCGTAAACAACATTTGATTTAATTGTTGATTGTTGATTAACAACAATTATCATTTTGATTAATTGATATTCATTGCTGATGATGATGGTAAACAACAACAACAACAACAACAACAAGGTTAATCAATCATTAGCTTTTGATGGTGATGGTTCAACTTAATAATTATGTTTGTTTTAATTTAATTTAATAAAGTTAATTTGTTTTATTTTAAATTAATTAAATTTTAAATCAAGTTGATTTAGTTAATTAATTTAATTTCAGGGATCGATTTGGTGTATTTCCAAGGAAGTGAATTAATTGGAATTCATATTTTGTGAAATATCACTAATCGTTTCCATTGTTGAAATTTCTGGCTGTTATTGCTGCTGCTGCTGTCCCACCTTATAAGTCGACAGGATTATCATCTGTCGGTGATAATCTTTTGCTGTTACCGTTACTTTTGTTTATTCCTGTTTACTGGATTTTCTCTACTGGTTACGAATTTTGTTCCAAACATTATTCAGTGAGCCTGCTTCTAGAGCTGCTCCTTGATCTTATTCGGCTAAGACAAGAAGTAAAAAATTCATTAATGAGGACATTAAATTGCATATCAATTTTACATGCTTATTTTTGCGGGTTGAATAGATTGCAAAGATATAAAAATGATCACCAGTGTTTAATGTTGCTCGTATATCTTCATCCTTATTTGAATGTTTTTCAATCTTCACTATTGACGAACAAATTAAATAATCTATAGAGGAGGACCCTTGCGTACTTCTGAACGTCATAAAATCTGGAGGGATAATTGATTTGATTACAGTTAAAGTAACAAACTCGCTCAAATAGCTCTTATCAGGAGTAAGTGTACCACCAGCAAACGGATTGGCGATGTTCAAATCACCTAAAAAAATCAATGCTTCAATTACTTCTTTGGCCATTTCGCAGCAATACATAGTCACTTGCCTCAACAGAAGTGTTTTTTCCGCTCTTGTGAGGTGTTCTCGAAAATAGGCACTGATTGCTGCGATCCTCCGTCCAGGTTGAAATTCAATCATGGCTCTTGTGATACAATGTGGGCCCAATGGATACTCTTTAACATTAACTTTTCCAAAAATTGCCATCAAAAGTCGATTCAGCAATGTACAAGATCATTTAATAATATTTATTCATTTTTAATTATTTTCGTGATCAACTTATTAATAATTCTAGTCTCAAGATAATTTTCAGTTAAACTGCAAAGTGTAAATTGCCTTATAATTAAATATTCATCGTCTTTCCTAAATCCATTTGAATATCACAATCATACAGTTGTATTTCAATTCATCATCATCAAAATAAATTCACACTTTTTGTAGTATTTATTACAATTAAATAAAATAATCTCTCGAGTGTTAAGAAAGTTTTTCAAACTTTTATTCAACAGTTTTCATATTAGCTTCATCTTCACTGTCTTCGTCGTCGTTATTATCAAGACAATCATCTTCATATTGAGTGAGAAGCATTTGTTCAACTGTATCCGGCATTTCAACCCCTTTGGTCTCAGGTAACACAATAACCGAAAGCGCCGCAATCGTGGACGGTACTGATAACCAAATGAAAGTGACCTTTAAGCTAGTGAGTGCAGTCTAAAATTAAGATGAACAATTAGTATCGATATGATTAGAGCTCTGATCTGACTTACTAGTTGATTGATAAACGGTCCAAGAGTTGCAGCCAATTCTGCGGCCAAAGTACAAACTCCGGTTCCGAGGTTTCTAATACTGGTCGGAAAAACTTCCGGTGTGTAAACATAGAGTGTATTGTGCAGGACACCATTACAAAAAGTAGCGAAGGCTAGAAAAAAGACCTTAATAGTGAGCGAAGCGGTGGACTGGGACAAAAAGAAAGCAAAATATACATATAAAACAGCGTTCGTAGCAAAGAAAGTGACCAATAAAACTTTTCGTCGATAATTGTCCGCCCTGAGGGTCATTAGAAGCACCGATGTTGATGTGAATGAGCTAATAACCGCATTGTTAAGCCAAATGTTACCAGGAATATCGAGTGTACAATAATGTAAAGAAGAACCAGCAAATGTCCTTAAGAACCAGATGAAACATAGAATTAGAACTAATCGAGTAGTTCGATAGTGTAAAAATAGAGAAGACATTCCGAGTTTTTTGACTCTACTAAATTTACTGAGATTTTCTTTCAGCTTGTTGAACTTTTCCTCGAATTGATCTTCGTCCATTTGAATTGAAGTAAATTTCCTCAAGGTTAATTTGGCTTCTTCCGTTTTCCCTGAAACCAATTGCCACCGAGGTGATTCAGGAAGATATTTGATCAACCAGAGACAAAAAAATTGATAAATCGTCGTCATCATATAAATAAACCGAAACGAAGCAACGAAATATGTAACAAAGATCATAAACAAGGTCGATCCGTGCCAGAATGAATCGTACCAGAACATGACCTTAGCTCGATAACGAGGATCAACCGATTCCATCACTAGTTAAGACAAAATTTTTTGCTCTCATTATAAGGTAACGAAAATTTTCAAAGCTCGAACTTGAAACTTACTCAAAATAATCGTACAAAGAGATCGACCAAACCCTCCGATTCCATGAATGAATCGAATACAAATAAACAAAGGTAAACTTATTGTAAATATAAGTAAAAGTTCACAAATAATTTCAATTAAAATACAAAATTTAATTGCAAACTTGCGACCCAATTTATCAGAAAGATGACCAATAGTAAATCCAGCAAATGCTTGACCAGCAACATAAGCGGCTAAGGTAACTGATCGTAACCAATACCGTTCACAGATTAACAGCCACTTAAATGATCAATCAAATTGGTAAAATTATAAATGATGACAACAACAACAATTAACTAATTATCTTCTTACCTCACTAGAGATCGACACCCGATCCGAATTGAAATACCAAGTTTCACAATTCTCTAAATCAACAAATGAACATTTATCTTCTTGTAAAATAATCTGAAACGATATATCAAGAGGTAACTGGTTAGTTAATTGCTCGTTAATTGTTGTATATTACCTGAGATCCATTAATCGTCTCACAAATTAAATCATCTTTAACTGAATAATAAAACAATGATGAATTGTTGAAAGGAGATACAACATAAATTAACCCAATTAAAGCAAATAAACGTTTCTGAAAAGGTCCCCAGGAACCAATTAAATCAGAAATATTAACAATCCGATTATGATTAAGAAGTGATTTGCTTGATTGTAACATTTTCAAGACAATTAATTTACACTCAATCAATTAGTTGTAAGCATGGTGTTTTAATCACTGTTAAACTATTACATTCAACAATAAAGCTAAATGAAAGATACAATTTACTCAGTTGGATTTACAATCAATGTAAACAATTAATTGTGACGTTCAAATTGTAACTGTGGCAATTTATTTAGTTGATTGAAAAACTGTCTTGATCATTAGCAATTAAAAAAGTTAAAGGTAATAAAATCAATACGAGGTGAATACAAATGATGCAAGAAAAATTAACAATCTCGATTTAAATTGTTTCCTGGTTGAGTTTTTTTATCAGAATTAATTTTAATCATCTCTTCAATTGTATCGGGTATTTCTTGGCCTTTGGTCTCAGGTAATAAAGTGGTAAATGCAGCAGCAATTACACCAGGAATCGTTAGGACAATTAAGGTTACCTTTAAATTGTACGAGGCAGTCTGAGGAAAGGACAATCTAAATTAGTTTGGTTTTGATAATTAAGATGTTCATCTTTGATTACTTACAATTTGGTTGATGAAAGTGCCAGAAATTGAAGCGATTTTATCAATCGATGAGCAAATGCCAACTCCAGCATTACGAATTTGGGTTGGAAATACTTCCGGTGTGTAGGTGTAAATAACTGAATAAGTTGCGGAGATGAAACAATTGCCCAAGGCTATGAAAATAATCATTGGAAACATTTTATCAGAATCTGCGAAAGGTATTGATAAACCTAAAGAAATCGTGGTCAAGATTAATCCAACAATTAACATGACCTTACGACGATACTTGTCTACTGAGTAGGTCATGTAGAGATTGGTGATCGCTGCGAATCCAGTGAATATTGAATTATTGATGAATACTGATGAGGATAAATCGAAGGATAAATAATAAATTCCGTCTTCAACAAATGATCTGAGAAGCCAAATGACCGACAAGCAGATGAATATTTTACTCGTTTGCTTATATTTGAAAAGAGTGAAAAAATTAGCACTTGATTGTTGTTCTTTCATTTGTTCCTGATAATTATTTAAATTGTTACAAAGAGAATCAAATTTTTCCCTGAAAGTATCGTCATCAAAGGTTGAGTATTGTCTCAGTAATCGACCTGCGTCCTCCTTGTTTCCAGAAATGAGCTGCCATCGAGGCGATTCTGGCAAATGATAGATCGCAATTAGAGATAACAATTGGTAAATTGTTATACCGATGAAAATGTAACGGTAATTAAGGACATAGTAACAGGTAATTATCATCAGGTAGGTGGATGAGTACCAAAGCCATTCAAAGCTAATCACCATTGAGCCTCTTATGTTTGGACCAACATTTTCCATACCTATGTAATGACAGCAATTAGAATGACAATTAAAAGCAAATCAACCGACACCATTCAATGGATCGTATTAATTGTGTGACTAAACCAAGGACAATATTTACAATTACTTTTAATTGCTTTATGAGTTAACTCTTCATTTACGATCTAAATTGTTTCAAATTGTTTCAACTTGAAATGTATAATTGAACATTGAATCTTATCCAATGATAATCATACTAATCTTTTAATGTTCACAAGTGAATTATGATCATTATTGTAGATGTTGATATGATTATTTAGAATTTATTTTCCATCCTGATTAAGTTAATTGGTGTTTACTCACAAAGGATTAAGGCAACGATATAACGACCGTAACCACCGATTCCGTCAATTATTCTGAATCCAATGAAAAGGTACAAATTTTGGGTGAAAATGATTCCAAGTTGACTGATTATCTCCAAGATAACTGAACATGTTAAGGCAAATTTCCTACCAAATCTATCGGAAACATAGCCGATCACTATTCCAGAAATTAAGTAACCAAAGACATAGACCGAAAGAGTAAATGACCTTAACCAATACCTTTCACAGATTAGATTCCACTGTAGTAATTAGGTTAATCTCTTGATAGTATTTAAGGTTAACAATTAATGATCAACTTACTTCTCGTGAAATTGTGATCCGATCTGATGAATATCCCCAAGATGAACATGAATCCAATTCACTGAATGAACATTTATCCGCCGTCAAGTGAATCTATTGGATGATGAATCAATTCTAAGAATCATTGTCCACTTAATTGTCCAACTTACCTTAGTATCGTTACTTGTTGAGCACCAAAGATCATCTTTCAAAGCATAATAAGAGAGTCCAAGGTAATTGAACGGAGCGACAATGTAGACGATTCCAAGTAGAATGAAAATTTTCCTTTGCAATGGTCCCCAAGATCCAATTAGATCAGAAACATTTGACACTTTATTTATTTCCAGATCATTTTCCATTGTGGTTGACATGATTAACTAATTGTCTTCTATCATGTAATCAAGTAATTGAGATGGAATACAAACTAGAAAAAGGGATTAACTTGTATTCTAACAACATTGTGATAAATATAAACAGTATTGATGAATCTTTTTGATTGTTATGATTAACTACTTTTCACCATGTGATTTACACGTCACAATCACTTTGATTTCAAGTGGTATTAATGATTAAAAGATTTTATTGATTTTTGATTAACCCTTTTTAATTTTGATTAGAAATTTTGATTCATCGATCTATTGTAATTTATATAACTTGACGACTTCGAAATTGATTTTCTTGTTTATTTTCAATCGGAATGATAAAAGTTGAAAGAAATGTGATTTGAATAGAGCGCGAAAACCTGGAATCAACTGTAACTTCACTTTGTCAGAGTTTCTGAATATTCCCAATGTGAATTATCATGGAAATGGGAAAGAAAAGCGGATCTCTGGCCTTTCTCGAAGACCCAAAATTAGGTCGAACTGAGCTTCATCATCGCTGTTGTATTATCGAAACCAATGAACAATTAAGTCAAGTTAATGTTTCTCTCTATCCATAAGTATCTTTACATTAGATTGTATGATGATTTGAATAATAAGATTAGACAACAAGTAATAATGAATTTTTAGACGTTTAATTATTGGTAATTGTTTTCATTCAATTTCATTCGAATGCATATCAATCATCCCTTCAACGGTATCAGGTATCTCTTTGCCCTTCGTCTCTGGTAACAATATCGCAGCTGATGCTCCAATTAGACCCATGATAGAAAAAAGTCCAAAAGTTAATTTAAGGCTCGTAATTGCTGTCTGATGATTAGAAACAAATACAACATTTGATTAACTTTATTCTCGTTGAAATCAGTAGGTTAGGTAGTCATTAGGCTTGGAATATTCTTGGTGAGACTTACTAATTGTGCTAAAAATGGCGCAGAAATCGACGCCATTCGAGCCGCTACTGAACAAGTTCCAACTCCAAGATGTCGGATGTTTGTTGGAAAAACTTCTGATGTGTAAATGTAAATTAGACTGAACAAAGATGAGGCTGTGAATCGACCTGAAGTGATGAGGATCATTCGAGGTATAATGTAATCATGAGATTCGACGAAGGCAATTGAGGCACAAAGTAACACTGAGGTTCCCAAGAACATTACAATAAGCATTGACTTTCGTTTGAATGAGTCAACTTTCCAGGTCATAAATAGATTTGAGGCAAAAGATGATGTCATAAAAATCCCGTTATTAATGAAAACGTTGCCTGATAAATCAAGTGTACTGTAAGCAAGACCGAAGCCAATGAATGCGGTAAGAAACCAGATCAAATACAGAGCGAAACAAAACTTAGCTATTTTAGGTACTCGGAACAGGTCGAAAATTCCCATTTGATCTTTTGATTCAGTTTCGGAGATTAAATATTCGCGCAATTTGTCGAGTTTACGAGCAAATAGAACATTCTCATATTCATCAATTTCATCCACTTCGACCTTTTCAGCTTGTAATTTGAGTCTTTTTTTACTTTCGCGTTTCTTTGCATAGTAACGCAAAGTTTTCTTAGCACTATCTACTTTGCCAACGACCAACTGCCAACGCGCTGATTCAGGCACAAACATCAAGACTCCAATACACATAATCTGAAACACCATTGATCCCATGTAAATATACCTGAATTCAAGGATATTGTAGGTAACAAACAACATGACGACTTCGCCAACGAACCAAATCCAATCGTAACTAACGACAATCCGACCACGAAGTTTGGGTCCAACACTTTCCAAAACTATTCCAAACATAGAAAACACAAGTTATCATCTCATCTCGAGATCGGCACAATACATACGTAAGATAAGTGAGGCCAAAAAGCGTCCATATCCACCGATACCATGAATGACCCGAATCGCGATGAACACATAGACATTTGGTGCTAAAACAAGTCCAAAAGAAGTGATAATCTCAAGACATATACAGAAAAGAATAGCAAATTTCCTTCCTAGTTTATCTGATATACAACCAACCAGAAGACCAGAGATCATATAGCCAACTTGATAAGCCGAAAGGACAACTGATCGAAGCCAATATCGTTCACAAACCAAATTCCACTAGAACAATTAACAAAAACACAATCATGATTGAGTTTCTCGTTCAATCAACTACAATCAACTTACCTCTTTGGTAACCGTTGTCCTTGTTATGTTATGATACCAAGAGGAACACGAATTCAACTGATCAAATGAACATTTATCAGCTGCAATTGAAATCTATCGATAAACAATCAATTAAAATAAACGAAAATTATTCTCTAATCATGATTACCTGTGATCCATCCGATTGAACACAAACTAAATCACTTTTAAGTGCATAATAAAATAGACTCGCATTGTTATAAGGTGAAGCACAATAAATGACACCGAGCAGAAAAAACAAACGCTTTTGAAGTGGTCCCCAAGAGCCAATTAGGTCAGAAACATGTTCGATCCGTTCTTGACTTAAACTGTAACGATATTTATCGTTAATCGGTTTTAATTCAGTTTCCATCGAGTTAATTGTTGCCATTAACGTCTATCCAAATTCACCAAATGAAGTAACTACCAGGGTACATTTGGAAGTCCATTGGAAACGATTGAACGATTTTAGAATTTTTTTTCCTTCTCCTCTTTAATTCCAACAATTAGGAACAATCAAAGTTTTATTTGATTAAAACTAATGATCCTAGATGCCTTGGATCTATTTAAATTAATTGCAATTAACTTTGTTAGCATCTCGTGAATGTATCAATGGTTTAATGAAAACCTTTTTTTCACTTCTTCAATCAAATACAATTTAATCAACTCCAATTAAGTTAACTAATCAACATAGCAAAAAAAGTTATCTGATTGAAAAGCAGAAAAAAAAACTCTTTCATATCATTAAATTTACTAATGATAATTCAACAATTAACTTAACCATCAAGGTTATTCAATGAGTGAGAAACAATCAACAAGACTTTCACTCAGTTGACAACAATTAATTGTAACTGTCAACAGATTAATCAAATCATAATTTATAATCAAGAGGCTCTAAACTGCTCTTGAAAAAATTGACTTCACAATTTATGTCAAACAGATTCAACAATTTAATCTCGTTGATTAATTGCTGTTCATGTTAATCTTTCCAACTGATTTAATTTAATTGACTCCAATTAGTTTGTATTCTACCCATGAGATGGCGCCACTTTATCCACAATTAGATTTTAATTGTAAACAATTAACTGAAAATTAAACATGAAAATAATATTCATCAATCGATATTAATTGAAATCGAAACCAATTAATTGTCATTGAAATATTGAGACAGATAATGATGGTTATTAAAATAAGGAAATGAAAACAATTAAAGGAAAAGTAAAGAGGCAATTGAATCAATAGCTCGACAATTGTTTCGTCTTGGAATCAATTTAATTTCAATTTAATTGCTCATCTGATTATCTTATTGATTGATCGATGAATTTTCGATGACAATTTCAAATCATCAGAGGAGAGAAAATGAAAACGAGCAAGATTTGAATCGTCTCTCTTTTCATTCTGTTTTCAACTCGAAAAGATGATTAATCTCATCCGAATTAAACATTGAGGTAACAATTAGATAAACAATTTAGAGCAGTAATCAGTGGATAAGATAAGAGAATAATTAAATCTAATTGGAATAGAAAGAGAAAGCAGAATAACAAGTTTGAGAAGAAGAAAAAAAAAGAACTTGGAAAATCCCGTTTTTCAAGATCATTTTTTTTTTCTTCTTATTTTCTATTATCATGTAAAAGTTTTTTTTTCTTTAAGATGATGAAGCTTAAATAATAATAGAACCTTGTCTTTGGGTATTCGGCAGGATAGCACAAAGAAAGCGATTCAGATGAATGAAAAGACTAGAACATTATTATCAATCGATGTTCCTGTTTACTTGTCAAGTCGAAAAGACTTTTATGAATCGATGAACAAACCACGATAAGAACAAAGTTGTTTTCGATTGTGTAAAACTGACATTTTGCAACAATCATGATCATTAGTAAACGATAATGATGTGTGAGTGGAAAAGAATAACAATATTTCCGAGTAAAAATATTCGAAAATTGAGAATACGATTATTGTGATAATGTAAAATCCAAGTAAATTGTTAGTGAGAGAGAGGAAAAAAAACAAGAACATGGGAGGATAAAGATGAGAATGAAGATGAAGATGAGGATTAGAACGATGAAGAAAAAAAGTTCTGAGGTGTATCCAAGAGTTTTAAGTTACCTTTTTGTTTTTGTTTACCTTTTTTTTTCTTTGATACAAATCAGAAAGTGAGGTAATATTACTGATTTTTGAGCCTTGAGGCGATTTCCAACTATCCTTGTTTGTTAAGGTAAAATGTTCAGGTTGGTCAGCATTTTGATCATCATGATGATAACGATGATGATAACTGACGACCCATAATTTAGGTTGTTGTTTTGGGAGGTGACCCAAAGATCAACACTAATCAAAAAATTAATTTCAAGGTTGACCATTCATTGAATAGGGATAACATTTGAAACTATTTCATAATAATAGTACAATAAGTTGTGGTCAGTATATCAATCGCCATTTCAATAAACAACAATTTTCAATCAACAATTTAGTTATCATGATTAACATGAAACAAACAAAAACTCATGAATCTTTTATTTCAATATGAATAATTAATCAGACTGTTGAATCTCACGAGTAGATTTAATCACAATCAATGTAATCATGATCATCTTCAGTTAATAAACGTGATGTAAAGTGTTCAGATTAACTTGATTATCATGATAATTGTTATCACAATTAAATCAAGGTGATCATTTGGTTATATTTTTTTTTCATTCTTTATTTGATTTTTTGGTGATATTATTGATTACCTGGGAATAGACAAGGTGAATCAAATTGTATTAACATTTGATCACGATTTAAATTGAACTGATCAACACTAATCACAATTAACCAAGTGAATACAATTCAAAATGAATCTCTAATGATAATTGATTCAACAAGAAATACAAAAAAAAACAAAAGGGTTGGCAAATAAAACAACAACAACATCAACTTTTAATCTAATTAACTAAATTTGACCATTGAGTTAATTAAAACTGATTCGTTGGACAGGGAAGACAATTTAATGAAACAATTAGCATTCAAGCAATCAAATAAGTTACATGTAATGATGATAATCAACAACAACTTGAAACCGGCTTTCTTACCTTTCCCAGGTAACTTCCACTTTCTTTTCACTTTCTTTTCATCATCTCTTATCATCTTTATCATCATCATCATCCTCATCATCATCATCATCTTCATCGTGTTCTTCAGGTAAACATGTAAACAAGTTTATCAAGATAAAGTATCAACCGTAAATCGTTGTACCTTGATCACGTTCCAACGATTCTTGTAACGAAAATGAAAAGTTCCAACGAAAGTGAAAGTTTATCATTAATTGTTTGAGCTATTTAATTATCTGATAATCTTCTGAACGATAAGTTAAATCATTAAAATTATTAACTTATAATTTTTTAATTTCTCTCGAAAATTGGGAAAACAAAATTTTCTCAACTGAACATCACGTAACCAACCTTATTGCTAATTCTCAATAATCAAGCTAATTAACTTATTGATTCTTAATTCTAATTCTAATTGGTATCTAATCATTTCTATTACTAGATAATTACTATTAATTTTAATTCAACAATTAAGATTGTAGCTTTCAAGATGAAGAAAATTTAAATTTACTTATTGAATCTAATTATATTTTCTAATTCAGTGATAATCATCATTCTGATTCAATTAAATCTGTTAACTTGCCAATACATAATTTTAATTATGTTCATCTCATTTCTTATTAACTATCAATTGATTAATTTTTAATTCTCAGGTGAGATAAATGGAGCCATTGATTAAGACAAATTAAGTTTATCATCTTTTTCATAGGTTAATTATCATGAAATCAACAAGATAGGTAAACTAACCTACTTAATTGTGATTACCTTTTTTTATAATTAAAATTTAATCATCAATGATTAATAAGTGATCAGAAAAATCAATTCAAAAGCTTATGGATGATTTATATTGATCACAATTAGCTGGAGTTTTTTTTAAATTGTTGATCTAATTGTTGGCCTATTAGCATATACATAATAAGTGTTGTAATTTTAACCAAGAGCAAATGATTAGTTAATTCAGTTTTTTAAGACTTAAATGATAATGTTCTTGGTTCGAGTTAATTACAAGTGATTACGGAGATAATTATATCAACATGAGAACAATTTATTGACCTAACCCAGAAAAAGAAACCAAGAAAATCAATAAGAAAGTAAAAAGAGAAAATCAAAGTTAAGTAACAACAATTAAATCTGAAAGGAGCAATTTAAATGTAAGGTAATTCAATTACCATCATTAACTGATTCAGTGTTACGTTGGAACGGAAGTAATTTGAATAATCAGTTAATTGTGGATAAAGAGAAAGAAGAAAAAAAGTAAATAAGGTAATCAATAGTCAAGAACAAAAAACAACAACAACAACAACATTAAGATGTAGAAAGAAAAGTCGAAAGGGAAAAAAAGACAAGTTCGAAGATAAAAGTGAAAGAGAATAAAGAAAAAGTTCTAATGGAGAGGAATTCGAGGAGAAAATTTTTCGAGTTATATATAAGTAAACTTCGCCCACGCACATATAATATACTACAAGGTGTTGATGATGATAAGATGAACATGATAAAGGGTAAAGGGTAAAGTTCATTACCATTACAGGAAAAGTTTACCTCGAGGTCAAGGTTATTAGTTAACTAATCATGAACAATGTTGAACCAGAATTGAATTAATGATCAACGATAAATATACTAACCCAATAATTTGATTAGAACCTGAAATAATAATAAGTTTTATTGTTACAATCAACGATAATGATAATAGTTTGCTTAATGATAACTTGAAGGTTTAAATATTATTAGCTGATTGTTGTCTGTTTATCTATTGTGTATTTTGATTGTAAGTAGTGTAGTTGTTAATTTTAAGCTGCAATTATTGATTATGATTAATGACAAATATGTGAATTAATTTGATTAACAGTTTATTTTATATTAATGCTAATCTATTTTATCATTAGCGATCATCAAGAAGGTGAATTGTTTACCAGATCCATAGAGACGTGACTAAGTATTGCTTTTGTATATTTGATTGTTTGCAAAATGATTAAGAGATTAACTGTTGAAAGTTAATTAATTCACATTATATTGTAATGATAAGTTGATTGTTAATCAAATTGTTGATCCAACAATTGAATAGAGGAAGAGAGATGCAGATATTTATTCCTACGTCAGTTTTGCTCCAAATAACAAACAGAAAAAAATAGGAACCAGAGTTTTCCATCTCAATGGAACCAGAAACAGACAGAATCTCAATTTTTCCATGATAAAATGTTTGGATAATCTTGAGAAAACCAGAAGTAGATCTGAGCAGCTTCCGGTGAAATTCAGTGCGCAGGTAATCATATAAACTTTCACCCATGTTATATAATCGCCATGATAACAGAGTAAAAGCTTAATTGTGACGTCAAAACGTAAAATCGTTACGTTGCAACTTTATTGATCCAATGGGAGAAAATATAACTCAACGATATTTATAAAAATAGAATCAATTTTACACCAAGAAAATTTTATAGTATTTAAATTGTTACAACTGAATCAAAGCCAATCATTAAATTTGTCTCTCTCTCTCTCTTCTTTCTTTCTCTTTCTCTTTCTCCTTCTGAAACAATTAACGTTTTTTTTTGATAACAACAAAATAATAAAATGCTAGAACCATAAAGGTAATATTTAGACAACTGAATCAATTGTAATGCTAATTGAGATTTACCTTTGTTAACCATTGAGGTTTTTTTCCCAATGATCAATCAAATTGTGATTAACGTGATATTGTCAATGTTAGTTAGTTGATGATTATCATCTAATGATACTAATTGTTTGTCAGGATATAAAATATTGTCGAGA